TTAAATCTGATCCAAAACTTTGTAAAATGTTTTGTCTACCTTGGTATCCTGGTGTTCCTGAAAATCCAGGATCCCCCCTGAATCCTGGTTTGTCTGGGGTCCCGTCTGGTCCTGCAAGGCCTGGGAAACCTGGCTCTCCAGGCTGGCCAAAGTCACCTGAACAAACAAAAACATAAAACTGTGTCAAGCATTAGCAAAGTCAAATCATACTGCGGCATGTGCTGCTGTGCTGGACTGATCTTGTCTGGCCTTTGGTGGGCCTTGTATGGATAAAAAGAGTGGTTCACCTTGAGGTCCTTGGAAACCTTTCAACCCCGCTATGCCTGGAGTACCAGGCTGACTGTTGGGTTCACCGCTCTCTCCCTTTTCTCCTTTGACTCCCGTCTCCCCAGCAGGTCCGATAAGCTCCAGACCTGATGTAAACGCAATCAGACGACACACTCAGAAAAGCTCATTTCAGAATCAAATGTGATCTTTGACAATGCAGCTGACGACAAACCTAAAACAGTAAAATTACATAATTCAATCAAAGTAAGAAAACACACGTTTTCAAATCTAGGAGAGAAGCTTTTATAGAAACAGTAAAAAAATACAACTTTAATTTTGTTTATTTATTGGCTCATTATTTGAATAAAATGTATAAATCTATATTTTTAGAGTATTTAAGCAGCATTATAGATGAAACAGTCTTAAACATTCACTGTACATTGCTTTGATTCTAGCAGTGCACAGAGGACTCATTTCTTGATTTGGTACCTGGTGTTCCTGATGTTCCCTTTTGTCCTTTCAGTCCATGTAATCCAAAGAGACCCTTAAGGCCGGTGTAGCCTGCACGCATTTAGATGGAATCATAGGGTAAACAACAAGTGTGCACGGTAGGTTTGAGAAAATAAACAAGATCTTGTTACCTTTAATTCCTTCATAGCCAGGAGAGCCTGGTTGTCCATCTTTTCCAGGAGATCCAGGAACGCCCTTTTGACCTTGAATACCAGGAGTTCCTTTCTGCCCATCTGAGCCTGAAAACAATAAGCAAATTCATGTAAACAAAATGTAAATCATTTTTGTAAACTATAAGGAGGTGTGGTTTACCTGGGTGTCCTACTACTCCTGGATCACCTAACTTGCCCTTCATTCCTTCGATGCCATCAAAACCAGTAATACCAATGTCCCCAGTGATTCCAATTAATCCATTCGAACCTAAAAACAGGAATATCAAACATTTAAAATCAGCCAAAACCTTATTACTGTTGTTGATCAAATATAAAGCAGAAGAAACAACAGTTGCAGAAGGTCTAACTTATACCTGGCTCTCCTGGAAATCCATCTTCTCCTCTCAGTCCAGAAGTTCCTGGAAGGTCTATACGGAGGCCTCTGTCACCTGCAATATTTTACTAAAATAACTACCACATAAAATAGTTCCATCACAGTAACTTCATGACATCTAAATGTCTGTCTGAGGTATAAATTTGACCGTGTACCTTTGGCACCCTTCCTTCCTTTGTCACCAGATGCTCCATAAGCACCAGGGCTTCCTTTGCCTCCCTGAAAAGTAAGTTAAAATGTGTATGAGTGAGAATGATGACAACTCATTTACCATTATTCAAAACAACATTAAAACAAGACAAGTGCATTTTGTCAGTGCAGGCCGTCAGATGTAAAAAGCAGTGGGGATACTGGTTACCTGAAAAGCACATCTAAAACATTGCAATATGAGAGCTATCACATTTATTAAGGACTTCTTGGCTGGTGGAATCTCTGCAGCCATTTCCAAAACAGCTGTTGCCCCGATTGAGAGAGTGAAGCTTCTTCTTCAGGTCCAACATGCAAGCAAACAGATCACTGCAGACAAGCAGTTTAAAGGCATTATCGACCGTGTTGTCTGCATCCCCAAGGTGCAGGGAGTCCTTTCCTTCTGGAGAGGTAAACTTGCCAATGTCATCAGATATTTCCCCACCCAGGCCCTCAACTTTGCATTCAAAGAAAGTACAACAAGTTCTTCCTTGATGGCCTGGACAAGTGCATTCAGTTCTGGAGGTACTTTGCCAGTAACCTGGCCTCAGGTGGTGCTGCTGGAGCTACTTCATTCTCTGTTTCGTGTACTCCCTCGACTTCGCCCATACCCATCTTGCTGTTGACATAGGAAAAGCTGTACAAGAAAGAGAATTCAAAGGTCTGGGTAACTGCCTGACACAAATCTTCAGGTTTGATGGTCTTTGAAAGTTGTACCAGGGCTTCAGTGTGTCTGTGCAGGACATCATCATCACCTACAGGGATGCATACTTTGGCATCTATGCCACAGCTAAGGGTATGCTTCCAGACCCCAAGAACACCCACATATTGGTGAGCTGGATGATTGCACAGAATGTAACAGCCGTCGCTGGCCTGACCTCAAACCGCTTCGATACTGCCCATAGATGTATGATGATGCAGTCCAGATGCGAAGGAGCTGACATCATGTACAGTGGGACCATTGATTGCTGTGTAAGATTGCAAATTATGGAAAGGCTTTCTTCAAGTGAGCCTGGTCCAACATGCTCAGAGACATGGGTGGCGTCTTTGTGTTGGCATTGTATGATGAGATGAAGAAGTTCATCCAATTCATGCTGTCACACCACTGTCCAATTTGGCTAAATGTATTAACTTTTAATTTTCATGGACTTTGCATTTTGCCTTATTTATGGGAACACAAATTTAGCATCTCACCGTAGCAATGAGAAATGGCTGTACGTTGTGCAATTTTGATTTTAAAAACGTTCCACACCTTCCTTACCATTGTCATTCCTGATTTAAAAAAAAGTATGGATATCTACTTGTGCCATTCACTAGGTTTCTATGGTCCTAACTTTATTAAATATATTCTGGGGAACAAGCAAACAAACAAACAAAAACAAAACAAACAAACAAACAAAAAAAAAAAGTTAAATTTCTTGCATTCCTTAATGAAATAAGATCATTTTATGATGATAAAGGTTAATGCAGATGCAGTCAAACCCTGGTATAGGTCTAGTCCTTTTTGTGTTTACTAAGGTCAGTGATCTACTATATTGGCCATCTTCAACTGGATCAGCTCCAAAATTTAATTAGTCATAGATGTACAGCCAATAATTACCTTTTGTTAGTTTCAATAAATTCTGGCCTTTGTTACATGAGAAATGGTCAAATCCACTGAATCAAATTAAGTTTCAGAGTGGCTTTGCTCACCTTGTTGCCAGGCATTCCCTCAAAGCCCATAATGCCTCTGTTTCCTGTTGGACCCGGCAATCCTTTAAAGCCTGGCAGCCCCTGTGCTCCTGGATCTCCGTGAAAACCTTTCTCATTGCTGGGGTCCCCTGGGAAACCGTGAGAGCCATCATGACCGGGCACACCAGGCAAACCTTTGGTACCTGAAGAAAGCATAAAATGATCAGTTGAGGGCACAGAGGAGGTGAACGGAAACAAGAAACATATATCAGACTGGAGCTGCAGACCTCTTGGCCCCGTGAATCCTTGACTGCCTTGATTTCCATGTTCTCCTTTGGCTCCCTTTACGTGAATGAGCATTTGAGGAGCCATCTTCCCAGGTGGTCCTGTCAGCCCACGCTCACCTGGCCACAGGGGTGGTGGGGGTTAGTTGTATGTCTCAGTACAGCAGTGACATTACCTGACGATTCTGAGCCCTACCTTTCTCTCCCTTCTGGCCATCAAATCCTTTCAGACCTGCTTGGCCAGGCACTCCAGTCTCTCCTTTGAGCCCCTCTTGACCCTTCTGTCCAGAATCACCAAAAAGCCCACGAAAACCTGACATGCCAGGAGACCCTTTGCTACCTGAAATAAAGGATAAGTCCCAGAAACAAGCATTTTAGCTTTAATGGTTTGTGTGGTATATTGTTTTTCTCAACGTTAAACTAGCAGTGGCATTTTTAAGGAACCAACCCTTTGATCCTGGAAGCCCAGGATATCCACTTGCGCCTGGTTTTCCAAGGTTACCTGGTAGACCAGGTTCTCCTGTTGTACCATTATCACCAAAAATACCTGGCATCCCTTTGAATCCTGCTGGACCCGGGGGACCTGGATCTCCTTCTATACCCCTCTCTCCGGTGATTCCTGATGATATAGTTGACAGATTACCAGCAGGAATAAATATGATAATTTTTGGACAGAGGTGTGTTTGCTTGTATTTTTCTCCAACCTGGTTGTCCAGTTTCACCAGGAAGCCCAGGTGAACCTGATCTTCCGGGATCGCCAGGGAATCCATATATGCCCGCTGGCCCAGGTCTCCCTTCTTCCCCTAAGAGACCTATGGGACCTGTCTCCCCCTTAAAGCCAATCATACCTGGCATGCCGACCATTCCTGAGGAAATCAGTTTAATACAATTACTGTAATAAAGTTTAAACATTCTTGATCAAACAAAATGAAAACAGAAACACAGCTGACCTTGGTAGCCTGGCGCTCCTTCATCTCCAATTTGGCCTTTCACTCCTTGAGGACCAGGTTGTCCTGGGTCACCTGGTGGTCCAGGTGATGCTCCTAATACTTCACCATGAGCACCCTTTTCACCTTCACCCCCGTATCGACCAGGAACACCTGACACACCTGGGTCTCCAATAAAACCTTTTCTGCCAGGGATCCCCAAATCTCCACGAGGACCAGGAAAACCTGGATTTGAAACATAATAACAACAAATTAGCACCAAAAAGAATATTTAAAACAAATCTCTGATGTGATCAACAGGGAGTGGTGCTGTGTATTTAAGTAGACACAATTAAATTCATGTAAGCTTTTTCAAAGCCTTAATTATACCTGCAACTACTAGTTACAGGTATAATTAAGGCTTTGAAAAAGCTTCAAATTGCTTTTTTGTTTTATTTTGTATTTTGTTGATATTGTTGTTTAAAGTAGTAGTTTTGATAATTGATGCCTTATATTTATAGATGAACTAGTTAAATTGTATTTATCAAGTAAAGAATAACATTTACATTAGAATTAATTAAAAAAATCAGAAATCCTGCAAAAAATCAGTTTATTTATTATAATAAAACAATTCAAAAAGCAAACCAAACATTTACTAGAACACTATAGTAACATTTAAAACTATTTTTACTTTATGTGTACTGCTGTGGCAGGTCTAATATTACAGCTCAACAGTGAATAAAGCTGATATAAAATTTAAATATATCAAATTGCAACTAAATTTTCATTAACTTATTTCCTTTCTGCATTTTTATTATTCCGTTGAGTATTTTCCTGTACTTTTTTTGTTTACAACAGTTTGGTTAACTCTGTTTTACATGAGCTTTATAAATAACTTTGACTTGATCTAAATACATTTTTGCTGTTTACACAAATATCTATGTTTCTGTGTCAACCAAATTCTAACATTTTATTTTATGCTGACTACATAGATCCTTGGCACAGTTTAAATGTATTTAGATGGTATGGTATGAATATTAATAAATATGAATGTGTCCAACTGGTGGTATTGTTAACATTGAACTGACGATGTTGTTGAGTTAAAGCAAGGCTTTTAAGTCACACCTTTGAAATTAGAACATGTTTAAAATTTTTTTAAAAAGTATTAAAACACTAGATCCTGGATATACAGACGATCAAAGTGCTCCTACTTTCTTCACCAATAGTGTATAATGTGAGCATCAGAACTGGACCACAGAGCAATGAATACATGATTGATCCGATAAATCCTTATCGTTTTCTATATTATATAGAAAAGTTTATGTGCATCACTTGTCAAAATGTTGCACTATAAGCAAACTGCAGGGTAGCCGTATGATGCTTTGAGCTGTTGGTTACGATGATGTTACTTCAACAAAGAGCATCAACCAAATTCTAACTGGTGACAAAGTACAACCTTTAATAAAGCTCATATTCCCCCATGACAGTGACCTTCTTCAACAAGACTAATTGTTCTGACACACTACAAAAATTGATTTTATTTAGATAAAAACAAAACCAACATCAAGATGTCTTAGCTTCTAAACTTTCTTAATGTCTTTCGTGCATAAACAAACTAGAAAACATGGAGATTCCATCTTTCAGCTAACACCCTAACCATTCATGTCAAACTCCAGTCTTTACTCCACACAGTTTATTGTCTCCCCTCACCTGGTGGTCCAGGACTGCCGCCTCTGCCTTGCTCCCCTTGTTCTCCTTTCTCCCCCCTGACTCCACTTCCACCATGTGGACCCGGTAGGCCAGAAGATCCTGTTGAATTCGAAACATAATCGAGCTTCAAAATTGACTCCAAAGAGGCTAAAGCTTAACACAAATCTTGCTCAGTTAGTTTACCTGGGACGCCTTGAATTCCAAAGAGTCCTGGGAGTCCTGGCAGGCCCGGAGGTCCCGGAACAGATTTGCAAGAGCCTGACAAGAACATATCAGAAAACAACTGATGGGTTTTATGAAGAAGCAGCTGTTTATAAAGAATTTATTTGGTGCAGGTGGTGTCTGTCTGCTGCCCAGCATGAATGGTTTTCAGAATGAAACATAATCATTATATTAGCTGGAACCTCTGTACTGTAACTCTCAAACTGTAAGCATAAAAAAACATCATGCACACCAGTAAAATTTTACAAACACAAAGCACAATAGAGCTGTTATAAATGAAGCAAATGAAAGAAAACATTTTATACCAGCTACCTGTGTCATCCACCTGTCCTCCATCTCCTCTTGGTATACAGCCGCCTTTTCAGTCGCAAATGAGGGAGAAGGAAAGAGAGACGCATTCGAAACAAGAGTTATTCAAAAGCACAAGCATCGTCTCAAACAGGCTCAGCCGTAGCTGGTTTAAGGGATGCAGCTCCCGCATTAATTAGACAGCAGAAGGAAGAGAAGTAAGCCAACTGGCTGGTCACCATGCTTCCTTCTCCTTTAACCACAAGCCACAGTCCACTCTTACCACGGCAAACTAGATTACAAAAGATTTTGAAAGAGGTAAGGCAAAAATTACACAGAAAGAGATAAGCAAAATCCATATAGAGAGCAGAAATACACGCCATGGAAATGAGACTGAATAGAAACGGCTATGGAGGCAGTCAGCTGACTCTCACCTGGACTTCCAGTTGTTCCTGGAGCCCCTTGGTAACCAGCGAGACCGTCGTCTCCAGGTAAACCGGGTCGTCCTTTGACACCCACAATGTCCGGACCTGGTTGTCCTCTCAACCCGTCTGCACCAGGTGAACCAGGCCTCCCTGGGAACCCCCTGTCTCCTCGTTCTCCGCTGGGTCCTTCACCCTGTAAATATGAACGGCAAAGAGAGGTGAGGAAAATGGTAAATGGACTGTACTTACACAGCAACTTTTAAATGGACTGTACTTAC